CGGGCTATTTGGATTGGATGTTAACTCATGGCAAGTCTGGCAGATTGTGGATGAGATGCCGATCTGTAAAGCAATTAGTTGCAAGAAATCACTGCTCAGTGCATGTGTGAAATCCCTGTTGTCGCTCGTGGACTGTAGCTGGCTGGCTACAGTGCGAATGGTTTTGGAGAGCTGTCGGTATATTTGTGTACCTGCATTTATAGGTTGCATGCCCAAATGCTTCATCTCTTTGGAAAATGGAGCTCAATGTATATTTTGAACTATGTCCCTCTGCTGGGATTGATTGCATTTTGCTTGGTTTGGAGATTCATTTGAGGGTGTCAGGAAAACATTTCCTCCTTGTGCATCATTAAGTTCATGCTTGTGGGGCAATTTGACTCTTCTGGTCCTTCTGGGTCTTGCTAGAACATTTTTTTCCTGTAGTTTCAGCCACTAGAAACATCAGCTTTAACTATGGGTAGGAGGGAGTCCCTATTTACCAGGTTAATCCATTTAGAAATAACATGGGTTTCAGTTCTTGCTTCTTTTATTAAATTATGCCATAGCCTTGTTCATTTTTATTTGCCAAATGTTATCTATAAAGGCATTTCAGGAGTTTAAAGTGGGAGATTGGATTTTAGAAAGATAAAAATGCACTGTAGTTTATATCCATGGCTTAGATCCAGGTGGGACTGATCCCTGTGAATGAATGAGAGAGCTCTGGAAGCAGAAGTGGCAGAATATAAAAAGAGCATGAAATTTGAAGTCAGTATACATGGCCTGCTTACTTACCTTAAAAAAAATCACTTAACCCCCCTGAACCTCAGTTTTCTGTTAAGACAATATTTTACAGAAATACTCCCTTTCTGCAATGTAGGGCTGATGCCATATACTGCAAAATGTAAAGTCTGATGATGATAATGGTGGTGGTGGTGGTGTTTTCTTAGTTTGGAGCAAAGCTGTGTAATGCTGTGTTTCTTCGTTTGTATTTCCCCCAGTGAGAATAGATGGATGTTCACAAATGACAATGCCATTTACACTGGGCAACCTGGGCCATATAATCATGCAGGGAGGGAAGCTGCCTGTAGATGGCAGTGTTCTCAAGGTCATACCTACAGCAAAGCTGAGGTTGCACCCAGTGGAACTGACTGTAAGGACTGCTGTTATCTATGATGTACTCCAGGGCACAGTGATTTCTGAAACTCTAGCCATAGGAAAAATCATCAACTTCTCAGATGGTAGTCAGGAGCCTGTCCTATTCCAGGGTTCCTTAGTTCTGAAAAATCTATGATCTGTGAGAGTGTACAAGTTCATCTTTAATGGTTTTATAGATGGTGACCATGTGTCCTTTTAATTGTCTCCATTTTCAAACAAAAGGAGGCTGCCCCTCTTTTGGTTCTATTCCAACTCCTTTCTGACCTTGCTACAAGCCAGTAGAACTGAACACAGCAATCTCCACAGGAGCATGAAAGCAGGCTACTAGTTTCTCCTTTGTTTTGAATGTCCACTTTGGTTAGATGTTCACTTTGACCAGCTTGGTCCAAAGAAGCAAATTAGGCCCGATGTATTCCGTAGTCAAAATAAGTATGATTGTGTTCCCAGGACTTAGAGATTCAACATCTTATAAATTCATTTTGGCTTATTTTCTGTTAAATGTTCTGTTTCTCAGAAATGCCTATGAAAAGTAATTTACTTTTAGGCTCATTAAGTACTTTTACAAATAAATCTTCCTGATTTATCTAATAGATGTGAGGTCACCTTTACCCAGTAGTCATTTTCTTGGAAGCAATCAGACCATTATGTGGGGTCTGGAGCATAATCTGCAGGAGCACACAGGTAGGGGGGCACTTGGGCACTTGGACCATGGATATAATCAGGGAAATTTCCCTTTAAGGTTCACCATTTCACCAGAGGTGTCAGGGCTACCTACCTTAGATACAAAGTCCTATGTAATCCCTCAGGAAGAAAATCAGTTGAATTAATCAATTTCACTTGTTTTGAATACTTGAAAATAATTTTTAGTCTAATGCCAATGCTTTCCTTATTCATCAAAGCTTCAGTTTAATATAATTTTGGTGTAACTACACTTAAGGTTATGATGACCACATAGACAAATCTAAACCTTTAATCCATAAGCTCTAATGACAGAGATGAATCATAACATATTATCATCATTTCCCTTTCTGTCCCCGTTAATGACATTTCAATTAAGGTGTTCTTTTTCTTTATTTCTTTCTATTTATTTATTTATTTATTTATTTATTTATTTGAGAGTACATCTAAAAGAAAAACTCTCAAGTTCGGGTCTAAATTTAGCCTCGCTGATCAATACTGACATCTAAATTAACTCCCTTTTTCCAAGTGTCAACGGCTTCCAAATCAATATTTCCTGCTCTACCAATTTCCATCAAACACAAATGCCTTCTCTGAAACTGGATCAGACGACTCCCTAAAGAAAGAGCCTGCGTTGACAAGGAAAACAAGTCTGTCTAATGAGGCATAGTGGCTTAGCCAAGCAGCAGTCCCTTGGCACCTTGAAGGGTTACTGCCCTCACAAAGGCCTTCGTAGTTTTCTGCAGACTCTGACCTGTACAACCTTTGCAGTGTTGAACTGTAATCTCACTGGGTATCATTCTTGCCATGGTGGGGAGAAGGCATTTTCCCAGGACCCCAGAAGAATTTTTTGGTCCTCCAACTCCTGAAGTTAGGAATGGGAATGCCTGTAGATATTAGTCAATCCCAGATTAGTTATATATAGAAAAATCTGCTTCCCCACTTGATAAACTCCTGATCATGATCCCAGCCCTTCATCCTACACAGAATGTATACTTAGAAAATAAAAATTCATTTCCACTTAGGAACGACAACAACAACAACAACAAATTAAGGAGTTGATGCTACCATTGACGCTGAACAAAATTTAAATAAAGCTAAAAACCAGGAACAAAAGAATAAAACTATGTATTTCATTTCCAATAGGAGTGACTTTCTCTTTTGTCTAGATGATTACTCCTGCCACCTCCCGGTGGTGCAATAACCAGGTATGACAGCAGAGGAGGATGCAGAGAACCTGCAGGCACCTTGCCAGGTGCCGCGCGTTCACTTCAGGCAGGTGCTACTTTCTGTGTCAAGTCGAGGCCTCACCTGCCCCTCCCTGTTTTCTCAGCATGGTGGTAGCAAATCGGGAACATCTCAGACTTAGCGTTCTGCTGGAAGGCTTCTTTATACTTCTTCTGGAGCTCCAGGGTGAGAACAGAGGCAAACTATGGAACTTTGGACTTAGGAGGCCTGGGCTCATGCTTCAGCTCACTAGTCAAGAGGCCCTGGAGAGCACAAATCTTATGGTATCTTGGTTTCCTCACTTGAAAAGTAAGCATAAAATCATTTTTTCCCACGAGTCTGTTCTCTTAAAATGAGATCACAAGTGAGAAAATACTTATCTCGTTATTACTGGAAGTTTCAGAATCAGTATCCTCATCACTGCACTCAGCCTGCCAGGATTTCCACCATGTCTTTATGAATAGCCTGTCTCTAGATTCAGGTGTGATCCCAGTGTAATTAGGCAGACAGTAATGTGGATGGCAGCAGTGTGATCCTGCCTTGCTGGGGGCTGAGTTCATCTGCACTGAACATACACATTAAGCACAGCATGTGTGTGGGCTCTGGCTGAACACTGATGGGAAGAGAATGTGAGCGAAGATAATTTTGCACATTGCAGTAGATAACGACATAATAACCATGATGTAGGCATCCATAAGGAATATCCTGAATGTAAGAGACTAAGCAGTGTTAAATAAACTTGGCTCTTGTGCTAATTTAATAGACTTCAGTAGCCACTGTACATTAACAAAATGTTAAAAGAGGAAGATGTTTCCCTGCTTAGGCTAATCTGGGTGAGGCTCTGCCTAGAAGCAGGCGACAGGACTGATTCAGAAATATGGGGCAGAAAGGAGCAACCCCTAAAGTGGTATGGCACCTGCCCTGCCAGGAAGCCCTCCTGGACTGTGGAGTGGGGTAGTGTGCTTTTCCCTCAGCATGGCCATTTTTTGGTGACCTTTCTAAGCTTCAGCGGTCTCATTCATAAAATGGCCTCATTCGTAAATTGCTTATGAGAATGACTGAAATGTAAAAGGCACTTAGAAATGGAACTGTTACATTTCTACTTCCTTCAGTCAACTTTAATAAGAAATCCCTGTTCACTATGCTCATAATAATTACCAATAGTCTGTTCATAACATGATATGCAATATTTTTAATTTTTTAGGTTTTTCTGCCATAGGATATGTGCATTTGCAAGAGACTCTGTTCATAACATGATATGCAATATTTTTAAGTTTTTAGGTTTTTCTGCCATAGGGTACATGCATTTGCAAGAGATAGAGAGAGGGAAAAGTGAGAAATTGCCTCCCAGGAGGGATGGCCATGCCGCAGTCCCTTCTCCTCCATCCTCAGGATTCTAGGCACACATGCAACACGCCCTGTGTGATTTTCAAGGTGCTGGGTTTGGAACTTGAACCATGGTCATCCATATGGACATCTAGTGTCTTAACCACCACATCGCCTGCTGACCTCTACACAGTATTTTTCAAATGTGCCATTGATCATTGTGTGTATGATCAAGAGGATCCTAGAGATCAGAGTAGATCCTTCAGCAAAATATGTCATATAATGCCTCATGCATATAATAAATCTTTTTTCTTTTAAAAACTGACCAGCTATGTGGATAGTAATGGCTTTGTCTTGACTGATATGCATGGTAATCATGCTGGAAAAGGAAATGTTATACACCGTAAAGATATATGTGATTAAATGTAATATTAAAAAAATTTTAAATTGACCAACTGATCTTCAAATGTCAAGGAAATTCTCTTATAAAAACCACACACATATTAGAATTTATGCTGGTAATTGCTACTAGTTACTAATTATCACCTGTGAGTCGAGCACTGTACTAGGCACTTAGGGGTCCCAAATTAATCAACCTGATTCTAAAGCCTGAATATGTTTATTGATAAAGGATTTGCACTTCAATGGACTGTACAGGATTGAGGATAGAAAGAAAGAGAATAGATTCCGTGACTGAGGACAACCTGGCAAAGTTCTGAAATGCTTTCCTCTGGCTATTTCAGTGAGAGAGAAGTAAGGCAGATATAGTTTGAGCCATTGTAGCATTAGGCCTATTTGTTACAGCAGCCAAGCTTTCAGAAATGGATACATTTGCTCCTTAACTTACCTGATCTCTAGGTTCTGGACACTTACGGTGGTATACTCACGGCTCTGTATACCTGACCCCATCCCAGCCACAGGTCCCAGGCAGGCTCTGTCTGCGGGGTAGCCCAGACTGAGTGGGAGACTCACCTGCTTGACCTCGGCCTGCAGGTGCCGCAGTTGGAGGCACTGCTCTAGCCGCTTATGTGTCTGCTCCGCGTTGAGATCCAGTTCATGTTGCTTCTCATGGAGAAACTCCAGTAGCTCTTGCACCTGGGCTGCCAGATCAATGTCTTTTTCACAGATTAACTCAATTCCTGATTAAAAAACAAAAACAACAACAAAAAAACATTAACAGTTAAAAAAACAGATAGTACTGTGAAGGCCACATTTCTTTTCTTTTTTTTGGGGGGGGAGCGTTTCACTATAGGGCGTGTGTGCTCGCCAGACAGACAGAGAGAGAGAGAGACAGACAGAAAGCAAGAAATTACCCCCAGGGAGGATGGCCACACCGCAATCCCTTCTCCTCTTCTCCTCTCGGGATCTTGGGCACGCACGCACACGCGCCTGGCGTGAGGTTTAAGCCACCCAGTCCGGGACGCGAACCGCGGTCGACTAACGTGGGAGTCCAGCGACATAGCCATTACGACTGAGTGGGAGACTCACCTGCTTGACCTCGGCCTGCAGGTGCCGCAGTTGGAGGCACTGCTCTAGCCGCTTATGTGTCTGCTCCGCGTTGAGATCCAGTTCATGTTGCTTCTCATGGAGAAACTCCAGTAGCTCTTGCACCTGGGCTGCCAGATCAATGTCTTTTTCACAGATTAACTCAATTCCTGATTAAAAAACAAAAACAACAACAAAAAAACATTAACAGTTAAAAAAACAGATAGTACTGTGAAGGCCACATTTCTTTTCTTTTTTTTGGGGGGGGAGCGTTTCACTATAGGGCGTGTGTGCTCGCCAGACAGACAGAGAGAGAGAGAGACAGACAGAAAGCAAGAAATTACCCCCAGGGAGGATGGCCACACCGCAATCCCTTCTCCTCTTCTCCTCTCGGGATCTTGGGCACGCACGCACACGCGCCTGGCGTGAGGTTTAAGCCACCCAGTCCGGGACGCGAACCGCGGTCGACTAACGTGGGAGTCCAGCGACATAGCCATTACGCTAACTGCTGGTCCCAAGGCCACATTTTCTTCAACATGCATCATAAAACTGAGATTTGGAAATAGCCATTATCAGCACCCTCCCAACACATCACTCTGTGACATTAGACAGATCGCCATAGTAGGCTCTATGGGAAGCTCAAGCCATACCATCTGTTTTGGATTTACTGGTCTTTTGCCTGGGAATTACCTTTAACAGATTATCAGCTCCTTATTATCAATGGGAGTTAGTGAAAGAGGCAGTTCTCTAGAAGTCTCTCTCTAGACAACACAGTTCCTGAGAAAACTGCCAACACCAATATTCACAAACATTTCTCTGGATCATATTAAAAGATATAAAACCAAATAAAAGGACCCTGTTTTAGAAACTCTGTCAAATGCACACTCCCATTTACTGGCCAGATACAATTTATCATCAGATGAGAAATCCACCCTGATGAGAGTAGACGGGCAGTGGTCATTTTATTCACCAACTACTTAGGTCTCCCCTAAAAAATACATTAGAAATACATTCCAGGTCTCAAACACACCTATTAAAATGAATCCAAGCAATATTGCAAAGATACTAAGTGCTAATCCATGTATAAATCTATCGTATTAAAGGTGTCCCCACACAAGAAGCTTGCTCATGGTTCTTCTATGATTGAAAGCTATTAATAAGCCCATGGAGGTACAAAAATGTTTATTGATATACCCAATATTAATAAACTGCCAACCATGTGACCTTTAACGAAAGCCTGGAGTCAATATCTACCAGTCAGGAATGATGGCTCCATTCCTTGGGAGCCTCTCAGCCTTACTTTTTCTACAGACCTCTCCCTCTACACAAACACAGATGTACACACGCTTTCTCTCTTCACCACACCCGTGTTCCTAATTATATATTATTAATAGCAGGCCCAAGGTCGCTGTCCTCAAATGGATTCCCGCTTCAGCAAGGGTCACTGACAAACTCTGAGGCATAGCAAAGGGACGTCCGTAGTTATCAAAGTTCTTCTGACTCCTGGTGACTAAAATGTAATTCCTTAGTTTTCAAAGACTACATGGAAAGTATAGCAGTTTTGAAACCTGTCCTGAGTTAGAATCTGATCTTGGACAAGTTACCTGAACTCACAGAAGTTTTGTTTTTCCCATAGGTAGAAACAGGGTTTTCCATACCTACCCACCTCATAAGTTACCTTATCTCCTCAGCTCATTGAGAGGATTAAGTGAGATAATGCATGTAAAACATCAGTCATAATAAAGAGCCTTGTTCTCTTTCTTTTTTTTATGATAGAGAGTGAGTATGTGTGTGTGTGTGTGTGTGTGTGTGTGTGTGTGTGTGTCTGAAAGAGAGAGGGAGAAAAGCACCCATAACAGGATATCATCACACTATGGTCCCCTTTCCTCCAGCTTCTCAGGATCCTGGGCACCTTCATGAATGCCCGGCATGCTTTCAAGTCAACCCAGAGATACAAACCTGTGGCTGGCCATATGGTTTGCAGCCTGAATGACCCTGAGTTACTGCTGTGCCACAGTGGCTGAGCCCTTGTTTCTTGATTCTAATTGCTTACCTATTTATGAGTCAGCCTTACTTAGGTCCTTAGCTTTGAGAAAATCCTAATACCAGATTGCTTGCCTATTTCTGCCTGATTCAACTGGCCTCTGTAGCTTTAGTCCTGTCCAAATCTTTTCCCTGGCTCATCCTATAATCTAGGACTCCATGCAGCTGTGGTCCTGTTGGTGATGCCTTGTCTAAGATGCAGAACAACAGGGATCCAATTAATGATGGGGTTCAGACTCAAAAGCTCAGCAGGTAAGTCACTAAAGGGTAGTGTACTTCCATGGGGATCAAACCCACAAGAGCCCACCTAAAAAGTAAACCCCCTGTAGGAGACTTCCCCATCACTCTGATTCACACCATCAGAAAGTCACACTGCCACCACCATCACACCTGCAGCATAAAGCTGGGGAGCACAAGGAAAGTCTGTATGCACTAAGGGAAATTCACCTGTGTGGCAAAAATAGTGCTTTATATAAGGACAATATGGGAAAGTGGGAAATTTTTTTTCCTGGTGTTACATGGTAATAATTTCAGTATCTTTTTATGTTTATTTTTTCCTTGAGTTTCATAATTCTTAGCTCCTGAAATATCTGAGGGAGACAAAAAAGAACGGCTTGTTCTTTTGGCAGCCAACTTCCTCTAGTTACTATTTTCAGTTATGAAGAGGATGAGGTAGAGCATCTCCTTGATTGAAATAAAGAAATAAGACGCAATACAAAATCTTCTATCTCTGCAGGGCTCCACATAGTGGAATAACCACTGACCCTTATGTTTACTTTCTGGAAATAGTTTAAGATCCATTAGCAGAAGTTCTTCCTCATTTCCAGACACAATGTGGATGTATTCTAGCTTGTTTTCATTCTGCCTGTGTCTCCAGTGTTCAGTATGCTGGGCTTGGGCAGTGTCTTTCTGTGTGAAGTTCATGGCTCAGCCCTGCCACACTGCACATAAATGGGCTCTCAAAGCTTGGTAACTCATCAAGGAGGCCAGACACCAGCTTAGGACATCATCCTGAACAGCCCCTCAACCTCCCCTAAGACTCAGGCTTTGCATTTTCATCCTATGTCTCCTGACACTGTTGTATGTGAAATGAACACGGGAAATAAAATGGATGAGAACAATGCCTTCTGCACCTCTGCATTCTACAACACATCCTGAATGGGGGGACCACGAAGACTTACTCCAGCCACAGGTAGAGGAACAGAGAATAACTCCCTCTCTTTCACTGCTTCAAACATTCATGGGAGTCACAGTTAAAAACCAACAACAGCAAGTAGAGTTCTCCTGTGCTGAAATTACTGCTTTCAATATCACATAGGTTATCTGTCTTCCTTAGGGCTCTCAGAAATGTAAAAAGATGTGTTTGTCCTTTCCTTTAAGCAGTAGAATGTATTGGTAATGAAACAGCTTATCGGTCTCTTTTTAAAAAAGTTGTACTGAGGTTTCTTTCTAATATGCCTCTACAATGGCTTGCGCTCATCCTTCATCAGAACCCTTCCAATGAGTCTGGCTCTTTATTGTTGTGCCCATATCTACAGGAGCATGGGCTCCCTGCTGCTAGAGATCAGGTGGAAAGGTCTGTCACCTTTCTGCTTCTTCAGGCCCTATGTTAGTGCTTGAGTCATATCACCCGATAAATACCTGAGAATACACAAGGAGGCCTCACCGGGTCACGTACTGTGGTGAGAAGGACCTGAGAGCCTTGAAGGACAGGCTGGGTTGGAATCTATGCTCTGTGACTTACCAATAGTGAGACCCTGGGATCCGTACCTTCTCTGGCCTGCTTTCCCTTGTCTGTAAAGTGGGAATCACAACTTTCAGAGATGTTGTGAGGATTAAGTGACATACAGTCTGCTCAGTGCCTGGTACCTAGTAGGCTCAAATATCGATTGTCCCACTTTTTACTTGCCCTGTAGAAATGATAGTGAATACATTGCTGGTTACTGATGGGACTTGAATGATTTATATAAAATGTAAATATAAAATCTTACTGACAGGTGGAGTTGTTCAATGTCTATCTTCAGGAACTAAGGTGGTTTGATGTTATTAGACCAGTACTCTTAGCCCCAGCTCAGGTTAGATTAATCTGAAGAGCTTTTCAAAATCACCAAGTCTTGGTCATACTCTGGGCCAATAACATCAGAATCTCTGTGGAACCCAGCCATTGGTAAGCTGTGAAGCTCCTGGGGTGATTCCAACAAGCGACCAAGAATGTGAAACTCTGGGTAAGATGACACAATGACCAAGCAACCTGAGGCAACAGTGCTTATGCTAGACTTAATTGCCAGAATGTTCTGCACTGGTGTTTAGGGTTCAAGGCCACAGCTCATTGTAAGTGTTATTTTGCTTTCCTTTGCTATCTGGTTGGGATACCATTTTAATATCCTCAAGGAGAGGAGTGGCTGTGACCTAGGGTAAGATTTAGGTATTCCTGGCTACTCTGCCCATATTTATAACGTGTTTCTTATTCACTTGTTCTTTGAGTATTTGTGTCTGCCTTAGAGAACATCTTCTTTTCTCTCTTCTCCTCCCTCCACATTCATTTTTCTGTGTCACTCCTTTTACACAACACCCAAGATTAGAAATTATGAAGTCTTTTAATCAGGTTTTTAGATCAGTGTTCTCAACTCTGACTGTTCCTGAGAATCACCAGGGAAGTTTGAAAAAAAAAAATCTGGGTCCACTATATATCAATTAAGGATTCCCTAAAGAGTGGGGCCTAGGCATTGGCAGTGTAAAGAAGTTCCCCAGGTGATTCTAAATGTGGAGCCAGGCTGGGAATATGCACCAAAATTCTCTCTTCCTCTTGGCCCCAAACCAGGTTCACATTCCTATTAATGTAGAGTAGTTTCCATCTCAGGAAAAGCAAAAGAAAACACACAAGCCTTTTCACACACAGAATTACTTGTGGTCCATTATTTTTCCCAGCATTTTCTCTACCTACCTGATGTTTGTCTTTCAGTAATTCAGCAACTGTCATTATTGAGAACTTGCTATGTGTGAGATACAGCCACCCTGCTGATGCTGGGAATGTAAGAAGGAGAAAGACCCCTGCCCTTGTGCTGTTGGAGAAGCTACAGGAACACAAACAGCCCAACAGAATGCCGTATGTGTGAGCATGCAAAAAGACAAGAGTTGTCAAGCTTTCTCGAACCTTTTCTGTGCTCATGTGTTGTTACTGCCTGTCTATGGCAAAAACAGGCAGAGTCACATGGAGGAATGAGGGTAGTGAGGAAGTGGGAAGGAAGACATCTTTTGTACCCTCACAAAATCCTAGGAGGTAGCTAGTCTTATAATCACTAGTTTTCAGAGGGAGGGCAGGCTCTAGAAAGACTGGGTAACAAGCTCAAGGATATCCAGAGGTGAGGCTGGCATTTCGACCCAGGATTCCCTATTGTATCTATACTCTCGACCTCTATGCTCAAAGGAGAAGAGTGAGCCCCACAAAACTTACTTAATTAACTAATTAATTAAGGTTTTTGCCATATGGCATTTATACTCACCAGAGAGAGACAAAGAGGGAAAGTGAGAAATGAACTTCCAGGGAGAATGGCCATGCCATAATCCCTTCTCCTGGGATTTTGGGTACGCATGTACATGCACCCAGTGTGATTTTTAAGCCACCAGGTCTGGAACTCAAACTGTGGTCGGTCATGTGGGAATCCAGCACCTTCACCACCATGTCACCTGCTGGCCCCCAAAACTTAATTTACTTAAAAATCTGTTTTCCAATTCTGCAGCTGGGCTTTTGTTTTTTTTTCCAGGCATATTAAATTTTAAACATCATTGCCCTAGACTTCAAAGATATTTCACTTAAAACTCTTCCATAGAAAGAGAGAGAACTTGATACTTTGATTAAGCCATAAAAGCAACACATCCATAGGCTTTGCAAATCTCGTCTTATGCCTGAGGTCGTGTATGACTGTTACAGGGCCACATTTAATTGGAGAGAAGACCGATGGCACAAATGAGATGGAATCGTGGAGAGTGAGAATGGGAGCTGATTTTAAGACTTAAGGCCCACCAAGATTCCTCTGGAGAATGTTTCGAGATTACCAAATCCTGGCCACACCCCACATTAGGCAGAAGAAGAAACTAATGTCTTGGAGAAAGAAAAAGGACTTCCAAAGTCAGGCAGCTTGGTGGGGTGGAACTGGACCGCCGATGCAGCCAGCGTGTTTTCCCAGCTTGGCCCTTTCTAGCAAAATCTCCCACCTCCCAGTTTGAGGCTCAAACAGATAATGCTATAAGGGGAAAGGACAATGAGCAAACTAGGAAATTATCCCACTCGCCTCTTTTCCTCAGGCTGATGACTTAAGCGAAGGCTTTTTGCTTTGGTTAGAATTATTGGGACACCAGAGGGTTTTAGCAGAACCTGGTTCAATGTTACAAATGTTGTACTCAAAAATAAGCTTAAGTGAAGTTCCCTATTCCATTTGTCACTGTAACATCAAAGGATAAGCTCTTAACCAATTTAGCATGGAGGCCTACATACCAACGAAAGTCTTAATTTTGATAATTATCTTTCTTCTAGCAACAGTTTATTTTATCTTTAGTCTGAACTAAGTACAGTTCACTAGACAATCATTGTAATCTTCCAATCCATTTATTGCCTCAGTCCTATGTCTCTTGGCCATCCGGTGCAAGCCCCTCCCCTCCATCCCCGCTCACTGCCTCCCTCCCCAGTTCCTCACTACCCCTATGTGACTCTGCCCCTTTCTGCCATAGACAGGCAGTGAGCTTCCTTGCAACACTTGGATTCGTTCCCTTCGACACCTCATGGACTCCACCAGACGGGACAGCTAGCTGTGGTGGGAGCACTGGAACAGCCAGTCTCAGCAGACAGGGCTAACGAGGCCGATCGAAGCTCTTTCGACAAAGCTCTTTGCGAGCACAGGATACTGTGGGGGTGGGTGGTCCATCTGCCTGGGGGTGTTTTCACCCACTTTGCCAAGCAAAACCAACCCTCAGTCACAAGCAGTCCTTGAGGACTGCCAGTTCCCAGTAGTCTTCCTGTTACCATGGATACCTGGCTCTTGGGATAGGTTGGCTTGCTGTGGTCATGTCAGCACCCTGGTAGTAAATGTTGCAGGTTTCCAGGCAGAACAGGCTCTTTCTCTTCTCAGACACATCCTACCTGAGGGTGAAAGGTGGGCATCCTTGCAAGCTTCTCTGCATAGCCTCTCCCCTAGGTATTGTGTCTGCATTCGCTCATGGTTGCCAGTCTTAGCTGGAGAGTCAGCTATCATGAGCATAACAAGCCACAGGGTTAAATCGCAAGTCCAGTTAAGGTTCTCAGTCATGGGGCCAGTCGGTGGCGTGGAGGTTAAGGCAGCTAGCTGGATCTCACATGGCCCACAGTGTGGTTCGAACTTCAGACCCAGAGGCTGGAAAAATGCTTTGGGCCTGTGTGCATGTATGCCCAGAGTCCTGAAAGGAGAGAGAAGTGCAGAAGGGATTGTGGGGTGACCATCTCCCTGGTGGTGGTAGTGGTTGGGGGTTTCTCATTTTATCTCTCTTTCTCTCTCTCTCTCTTTCTCTCTTGCAAACACACACACACTCTCTGGTCAAATTAACACCAACATCACAAAGGTTCCCAGTCACAGAGAAGGGATATGGTTCCCCTTCTTCCTCTCTGAATAGGTATAGTCCGTGTCCTACAACACTGCTTCTCACACTTTAATGTACGGGATTTATCTGTAAGTCATCAAAGACTTTGTGAACATGCAGATTCAGATTCACAAGCCTGGGATCAAGCCTGGGTTTCTGTATTTCTAACCAGTTCTCAAGTGATGAGGGCGCCGCTGCTCCAGGGTCACACTGAGTAGCTAGGTCCTAGATCAGGTGTACACTGGAATCACCTGGAGGGCTTGCAGGACCACAGACTGCTGGCCCAATCCCCAAAGAGTCTGATATGACAGGTTCTAGGCGTCCTTGAACTCACGCTTCAAAAAAGTTCTCAGGTGATGCTGACACTGCTGAACTAGGGACCACACTTCGAGAGCCACTGTCTTAGGTTAGTCCATAGATGCTGGCTGCTGTGGTTTAATTGTGATAAAAAGCAGTGGTTCTCAGGGCCAGCAGATGGTGTAGAGGTTGCATTGATGGACTCTCACCAGGGCTGGCCACAGTTTGAGTCCCAGAACCAGTGGCTTGAAATTCACACCAGGTACATGTGTGTGGGTGCCCAAGATCCTGGGAAGAGAATAGAGAAGGGATTGCGGCGTGGCCATCCCCCGAGAGGTTGATTTCTTTCAACTTTACTTTCTCTCTCACTGTCTGTCTCTTTCTCTCTGGCAAGTGCATTTGCCCTAAGGCAAAAATTTTTTTTTTTTTTTAAAGCAGCCGTTCTCAGCCCTGGCAGTACTGTTGAATCACCTGAGGAGCCTTTGGCTGATGCCCATGTGCCAGTCAGAGGTAGTGAAATCAGAATATCTGGGCAGGGGGTCTGAGTACTGTCACTTTAGACAGTTTTAAGCCTCAGATGAGCCGAGTGAGTGAGTGGCCTTGTGTAGCCGTGCGGAACACAGAGTGCACAGACTGGGCCTCACAGGTAGCTGTAGCCTGTTCACAACACAAGTGAAAAAGTCAAGAAAAGATTATGCTGGAAATAGTGAAGATAATTTACTAGACTGACTCTCCTTTGGCTAGAAGTAAAAGTTCCTTTGGATGCTGGTGTCTTCTCTTTCAGGTCATCAAAAGAAATCAGTACCAGGAAGTTGAGTGTGATCGCCAAGGTTCCTCCTGACAATCTCAGGATTTTAATATCTTTCATTATCCATAGGGACATGGCCCAACTGCTTTAAAAAACTGACAGCCTAAGCCTCTGCCTTATTTGTCCTAGAAAGCAAAGAAACTGAGTGAAACAGGACTCAAGCCGGAGGGCCATGGGATGGGCTGCTTAGCAGGAGGCCTGTTCCAATACTCCACTTTATGTGACCAGACAAAGTGACTTCTTCTCTTCTGGACTAGCCATGGGGATTGCTACGACTCCCTCCACTTCTAACATCCAATGCCATCTTGGAGAGTGGCACTTACAACAGAAAGGGATCACATATTTGTTGGATAAATTCTGAATAAATCTTGGGAGAGAAAAGAAGTTAAATCTTGGTAACTTAGCCAGTTTTTTCTGAGAAGCTATAAAATTATATGATCTTGCCATCAATTTTTATCAGCCCTGCTTACAGTCACCCACAGACCAGTGATAAAAAATTGAGGACTCTGAGAAGCATAAACTGCAGACAAGTAGACAGCCTAGGAGGGAAGGACATGGCAGGAAAAGGCGGGAGAAAAATAGGGGACAGCTTACACATTTGGATTGTGAATTCAATTCACATGGCTGGCTGACTGCTTTGGGTTTATTCTTCCAAGCCACCATTTTAAAAATGTCTGTGCTAATTTCCATCATCACTTCTCCCATTTTCTCCACAGCACTGGGAAACCCTGACCTACTCCTGTCTTTACACAGCCTGACTAGGCAACCTTGAATAAGCTATTTCAGTTCTCATGGCTTCGGTTTCTTCTTCCTTAAAAAAGGGTAAAACCGTCTAAATAGGGAAAATAAAATGAATGAACGAATTGGCAGTGCTCCTTGGAGGCAAGGTGGTATCCTTGTTGGGAGGCAGAAGAATGAGTGAGGTTGTCTACCTGAGGCCTGGACCTCCATGATGTACTGGTGCAGATCCTGGCCCTGCTGGATGACCTCAAAAGTCATGTTGTTCATGGCTAGCTTCCGCTCCGTGTGGCGCTGCAGCCGCTGCTCTGCCAGGGTCAGATCCTCCGTGTTGAAGTCATTCATCTGCCGGAGCAAGTCCTCATTCCAAGCATCAAGCTCTGCTGTCACCTGTGAGGGAACCGCCATCATCAGTCCAGGCTCACCTGGGGCACAAGAGACAGCTAGGCTAAAGCTCACCCTAAAGGCTTATTAACTCTCCCTCAGATGAGTCTCTGCTGCATATCTCTTTGACCCTTAGACTGTATTTAAGCAATGTTGCTATGTACCTGTGTATACAAAGGGGCTTGGAAAAGTTCATGGAAAATGTGTATTATGAAAAAACTATGCATGGATTTAAAAAAATTTTGCAACAAAATAAATGTGTACTTCAATTCCATTTTTTTCCACAGCTTTTTGAAGTCCCCTCGTGTCCTTGATTTTAAAGGTGTTCTCTGTGTGTCTCAATGTTTGTAGCACAGCAAAGGAATGGCAGCAAACCTATATTGTGAATTATGGTTTACATAGTTTGTACATACTTCATCTGATTTGATCCCCATAATGCCCCAGTGAGGCAGGCAGCATGGAGATCTCCAGGCCGATCTTATAGAAGAGGAAGCTGACTCATGTGGACATATAGAGTGATCTGCCTCAAGTTCATCTTGCTAGGGCGGGGCAAGGCTCCGGACATGGCTCAGTTTTGTTAACGGCGACAACTCTGTCCACCACTGCCACAACTATTGCTCTAAGAGTATTTCATAATTGGAGAGGGCCTCAGAAGTTAAGTTGTGAGTCTATTTCAGAAACAGAAACTGAGAGCGAGAGAAGGCTGGTGAAAGTCCTGCAGGTACACACTCGGTTAAAGAGCTGGTGTACATCAAACCCAAGGTCCTCTCTGACTCCTGTGTTCTGTGTGCAGGATTTGCTCCCTCTTACAAAGCCTGATACCTGGAAATAGTGACTAAACAAGGTATAAATGAATAACATACCTCTAGAAATTTAAGTAGCGTATAATCAATTGAAAGGCACCAAGGATTCTAATGAAGACTCAAGCATGGAATACGTGAAAACCTTATCCGAATACAAGTTTTATAACCGTTTGTCATCCTCCGCCTTAACTCACATGACTTTACCTAGTCTATTTTCAGTTCTTTGCAACTTCCTTTATAACTTCCATACTAGCCCACAGATTAGGAATTCCGCAATACTAAATTAGATAACATTTCTACCTGAGGTGTGAATCGAAATTAAAACTTTTAAACATGGCTTCAGATCTGTGATCTTGTGCTCCTCCCCAACAGCCCTGTGAAGGTGACAGCATGGAAACTTGTCTCCCTTTTCCTAGGAGAAGTGAAAGTCTCATCCAGGTCACCTACTTGCAGTGTGGCCCAGGCAGCCTAAGCACCTATCCGAGAGCCTTAGTGTGGTGGTTTACGTTATATCAGGTCTCATCCCAGCGGACGTCAGGTATAGTCTTCACAGTTACCACAAAGCACTGCTCTGGAGCATCGGGGTACAAAGGGAGGTATGGATAGAGGCCTAGCTAGAGGCCAGGGAAGAGGACTCTTACATCCCTGCTGGGCACATGCACATTGAGAGGGGAAAGCCAAGCAGTCCTTGACCTCTCTCACCTGGGGCTACTGTGTGGGCCATCTAACAGGAAGGCTTTTCTTTAACCAAAATAGAAACAGGCAGAAGTATGGTTGCTCTCTTTGTAGCAGCAAGAGGAAAACTGTAAAGTACCACCCTCACTGCCTAGGTCCCCACTTCATGTCCTCACATATTTTCAGGTTAACCCAGGGACTGCTGAGCTGAGCAGGAGACCCCAATACCCACTTACCTTATTCATGAGAGTGTGTGAGAGAGCATACACAAGATACAGAGAGAAAGAGAGAGGGAGGGAAGCACCCTTGACAAGGTCTTATCACACCACGATCCAGGGATCTGAGTCTGCAGGAGGCCATGTTGCTTCCAGCATGGCAATTCAGTATGTTATCAACTACCCCACCATGATGGGTCTTAGTATCTACTTGTGGGGAATCCTTGAGGAATCCAGGAAAAGCAGGTTAGCAGGCAAAATAGATTTCTATTGTAGTCTTATCTTCGAAAAGTACTTCATTCTCTAACTAGAGAAAGTTAAATGAGGAAAATAAGAAAGATTTTTATAATTTCTAAGAAAGAATTTATAGGAAAATAGGCCTTTATAGTTTATATAGAACTAGGCCTATAAATATCTTTCCTTTCTGTATTTTAAAAATTGATGTATAATTTACATACAAGAAAATACATTTTAAAAATTGCTAGAGGGCATGTGTACTTGCTAGAGAGAGAAAAAGGGGAAATGAGAATGCACCTCTCCCCCTATGGGGGATGGTCATGTCTCAATCCTTTCGCCTCCATTTTTTCCAGGATTTTAGGCACACATGCATATGTGCCCTGCATGTTTCTTATGCTGCCTGATCTTGGACTCAAACAATTTAGTTGGCCTAACCAACAAGCCACGAGCTAGCTGGCAGAAAAATATGTATCGTAAGCATTCAATTCTATGAGCCTTGATAATTTTATACATCTATGTAGCTGTTAACCAAAAAACAAAATATAATCTTTCTACCCTCCTCGAGAATCTACTTGCACTTCTCTCACATCAGTTCCTGCCCTTTCCCACCTCCAACCAGGTAACACTTTATTTCTGTCATCATAAATAAAGTTTGGCCTATTCTTGGATTTCATGTGAACAGAATCATAGAGCACTATTTAATGTCTGGCTTCTTTTGTTCAGCATGCTGTATTTACGGTTCATCCATGTTACTGTATGTGTCAGTAGTCCATTCCTTGCTATAGCAAAGCAGTATTCCATTGTATAGGTATACTGCAATCTGTCCATTATTTCTGCTTATGAGTTGTTGAACTGCATCCAGTGTTTGGCTGTTATGAAAAGGTTGATGTGAAAGTTCTTACACATCTTTCAGGGGACATATATTTTCACTGCTCTTCAGTGATTATGTGTGAACTTGTAGGGCCATAGGGCAGGTATAGGGTCAGAGGCTTCCTCAGCGTGACTATAACATTGCCTATTCCCAATAACAATAAATTAAAGTGTCAGTTGCTCTACCTACATTCTTATCATCATCTGGCATTATCAGTCTATTACATTTCACCTATATTAGCGGGTGTGAAGTGATATCTCATTATGGTTTTAAGTTGTATTTCCCTAATAGCTAATGATGGTGAGAACATGTTCCTATGTTTATGGCCATGTATATAACTACTTTTGTAAAATGTCTTTACAAATCTTTTGCCCCTTTGTTTAAAAGCTGGGTTAACTGGGAACCAGCAGTTAGTGTAATGGTTATGTCGCTGGACTCCCACGTAGTCGACTGCGGTTCGTGTCCCGGACCTGGTGGCTTAAAACTCACGCCGGGCGCGTGTGCGTGCGTGCCCAAGATCCCGAGAGGAGAATGGAGAAGGGATTGCAGCGTGGCCATCCCCTCATGGGGTGATTTCTCGTTTTCTGTCTCTATGTCTCTCTCTGTCTGTCTGGCGAGTGCACATGCCCTATAAGTGAAAACCTCTCCAAAAAAAAAAAAAAAAGCTGGGTCAACTGTCTTTTTGTTTATAGGTTTCTAGAAGTTCTTAATAGATTCTGGATATAAGTCCTTTATCAGATAATATATTGAAAATAGCCCAAGTCACACGTTTTAAAGTTCATTTTCTTGCCTACAAACTAAAGGAAATAAGAATAAAACTAAGATGTAGGCATAAAAGAGAGCACCTGCCTTTTATTTTGATTTTAGCTTTGTTTCCATGAACCTGAATCTACGTAGGATCTGTCTGCTGCAGGAAGAGCCCAGAGGGGTCCCAAGGCTAGGAGTCTGTGGAGTGGAAAGTATTAAGGCTTCTTGGAGGAGGAGCGGCTCAAAGCTGAGGTACATTAGGCAGAGAGCGAGGCTCGGAACTCTGGTATCTTGGGAATTTTTAGCTAAACCGGATGTCAAAAATGTCTAAGATTCTAAATCTGGTGTTTCTATATTCTTCCCTCTTCCCTTCACACCCTCCTCCACCCTTGTCACCTGACACCATTACACTGAAGGGCCCAAGTCTGTTATGAAGAACGAGGCTTCTCAGGAGTTGTTCAACAGAACAGCTTAGCTCCTCAGGCCGTCCTCCTCCCTGTGCCTTTCTCTCTCTCTGACTGTCCTCCCTGTCCATCCCAAGCACTGATGCCCAGAGCCTTCAATTAGTCTCACTTGTGTGTTTTGAATATCTACTAGGGCTCAAATAGTTCTCATCCCTGAGTATTTCTGCTTCTTTCATTGTGTTCTTCCTCTCCACCTTCTTTCCATGATACGGGACTGTCATACAACAGGCTCTTTCTGATGTTAATGAAAACTTTTTTTTTTTTTGGTCAAACCTGTAGCTTACTTACTTAACTACCAATGAACAAAGCAAGGTTTCCAGCCTTCCCCCATGCTCTTCTGTTATGAACCAGACAGCTGGTGACCCCAAATTAGCCCTGCCCTTTCCACCTCCACCCTGGTCTGATATTCCTGAAATGCCCTTGTCCCTTCTCCCAGTGTGTTCAAGCCCTGACTACTCGTCAAAGTAAATAAAAATCCCCAGACTAAATGTGTTCCTTGGGCTTATCTCATAGCACAGGACTTGGGCTAGTTTGCTAACATAGAGACAAACTGTGAAAAGAAAAACCTGCACCAAGGAATGAATGTGGTGATTTAACTCCATTTGGGGAGCATCTGGTCAGGCCAGAAACTGGGGCCTGAACGAATGAATGAAAGATGGAACACCAGGTTCTCATGGGGCATTCAGCTTTTCAGTAAGCCTATTTTACTTTCTCCTTCCACCAGCTCCATCTTGGCTTCTGGTCTACTTAGTTCCCTTTCTGGCTCTGGTGGCCTCTGTCTCCCTCAATCTTCTAAATTAATTAGAATATACATATATACATATATGTGTGTGTGTGTGTGTGTGTGTGTATATGACTGTATAATAAGTAACAATAATAGCATTGACTATAATGTAGAGCACTTAGTATATGCCAGGTATTGGGTTAGAAATGTTATTCATTTATCCTTACAATGACTCTACAGACTGGCAAGTCTCATCCTGAACTCCATCTC